CCGCAGACAGCCGAGCAGGCAGGATCTCTGGAGGGGGCACAGGATTGCGCCCCCCTCCCTCCCTGCCGCCAAAATCGCCCGGGTGGGGCAGACTTGCTGTCTATATTTGGACGAGCAGCGGCCGGCGCCCAAAGGGTGCAGACACCTAGTCTCACAAGAACGCCGGTGCTGGGGCAGGAGGCCCAAGGAGGGTTCGGGAAGTCCAGGCCTTAGGCCCCGGGCTGCAGAAGCAGCCTGAAGGGCACAGGGATGCCGGGGTGGTTAGGGGACAGGAGTCGGTGGCTGGGCTTTGGAAGAGCTCCTTGTGCCCTGGGGAAGAGCGTAGGGCAGGCCCCGGCTGGAGAAAAGGCACCGCGGCCTCCCGCTCCTGCTAATCTGGCCCTGGCCTGGGGTGGAGCACCCCACCCCCAGGAGAGTTTAGGAGGAGTCGGGACTCAGAGGAGAAGCAGGACGGACAGGATGGGAGGCAAAAGGCAGAACCACCGTGAGGGCCTTTGGGAGAAGCCAGTGCAGAGAGGAGTGGAAGGAGGATGACCCACCTTGCACTGTGTCCCCAAAAACAACATGGAGGAGATGGATGAAAACAGCAGCAGGAAGGACTCGGGTTAGGTGACAGGAGGAACTCCTCCTCGGCACATTTTTAGAAAATTACAGACCCTCTGCCTGAACTGTGCCAGAGATGAGGACCGTGGGGGGCTGCCGGTCCAGCCCCACAGCCAGCTTTAGCCAGGATCCAAGGGCCAAGGCCTCTGATTCTGGACCAGGTGCCTCTGGCAGATAAACCAATTCTGTGAGGAGATGCTCACCCACGCCTGGCAGTGGGAGGGCAGCCTGGCCTTGAGGCTCCTCCCCGAACCACTTCACCTTCCAGGAAGCTTTTGGTCCCAGTGCCCCCTCAGTCTGGGTCTCTGAGAAGTCAGGCCCACCCAAATCCCAGCCCCTTGCATTAAGCCCCACTTGAGAGGTGGCAAAGAACTGTCTCATACTTTCATCACCTTGAAGAAAGCTCCCTGCTTCTAGGACCAGACTCCGAATTAATTTATACCCAACTCCTGGCCAGATAAGCCTTTTCACTTGCTACCCTAACCCCACCTCCCACCCTCTCTCTCACACACACACACTCTCTCTCTCTTCCTGCCTCCCACAGTTCACAGGATGAAGAAAGCTCCCTGCTTCTAGGACCAGACTCCGAATTAATTTATACCCAACTCCTGGCCAGATAAGCCTTTTCACTTGCTACCCTAACCCCACCTCCCACCCTCTCTCTCACACACACACACTCTCTCTCTTCCTGCCTCCCACAGTTCACAGGACTAAGGACCGAAGGTGTTTCTGGGCACTGAGATCCTCCATCTCTGCCCCCAGCCATGAGCCGGCGCGTGGTTCGGCAGAGCAAGTTTCGCCATGTGTTTGGGCAGGCGGCAAAGGCTGACCAGGCCTACGAGGACATCCGTGTGTCCAAGGTCACATGGGACAGCTCCTTCTGCGCCGTCAACCCCAAATTCCTGGCCATTATTGTGGAGGCGGGAGGCGGAGGTGCCTTCATCGTCCTGCCTCTGGCCAAGGTGAGGGATGAGGAGAAGGAAGCTGGCGGGAGGACACTGGCTGTGGCCCCTGGGCACTCCTGGCAGCAGCCTCTGTTCTCACCTAGTTCCTCCGTCAGGGGGGCTGTTTGTTTGGGTTGGCAGCTCCCTGTTCCCCAAGCCCTCACGGGCCCCTTAGGAGGCTCCTTTCCCCTCCCAAAGCAGCAGCTTCACAGTGGTCTGTACCCACTCACAGCCCAGCACCCCGGTCCCAGCTGGGACCAGGAGTGGGTGAGGGAGATAGTTGGGAAGCCGTGGAATCAGGGCCTGGCCAGATTGTCTTCCTCCTCTCCTAATGCCGCACCCCCTCATGTTTTGGGTGTGAGGACCTTTCTCCCCAGTCCAGGATAACCATTTGGCTAAATCACACCCCACCGCTTCACACTGAGGACAGAGCCGGGCTCCCCAGAGTCCCTGGCCACCTCCCCACTCTGGTTCCTACAGAGAGGTGCATGAGAACAGAGGTCAGGGGGTCATGACACAGAAGCCCAGAGAGCCCTGCTCCCTGACCCAGGTAATGACCACGACCTTTGCTGAGTAGCCTGAAGCCCCTCTGCCGTCTCCACCCCAAGCATGACCTTGACCTGGATTCTGCCCCCTACACCTTGTTAGGGGAGGCCCCACAGGTGGCAGGAAGACCTGACAATAGCCAATGACTCACTCCAGGACAATGCAGACACCATACAAGGACACCATCCCCAGGGCTCAAATTTCAGCTGGAGCCACCTCCTCCCCCAGTTACTACTGTCATTCCAGTGCCACACAGCCACCCTTCTCCCCCACCGTCTGGGCCAATGCCAGCCCAGCAACGGCTTCAGAGCCCCCACGAACAGCCCGTAAAGACCAAAAATAGATGGGTCCCAGCTCAGGTTGGAGCATAACAGGCACCAGGAGTGCCTGCTGCTTGTGGTTCCAGAGTAAACCAGTGACAAGGTGGGACTCTGCCAAGGGTGTCAGGTGCTACACTATGTACTATCTCACCTTCACCTCTTCCACCAGGGGCTCCCCACAGACATCCCAACTCGGGGAACAGGCTCAAGAACAGCCTCCAAGTAGGCGTTTTGGAAGAGCACTAGACTAAGAGTTCAGATCTTGGCTCTACCAGTATCTTGTGTGTCCTTGGTTAAGTCACCTGACCTCTCTGTGTCTGAGTCCCTGATGTTAAATGACTTCAACTCTGTCTGCCTTCACTGAAGTACAGGAAGTAGGCTGAATGAGATTGGAGGTGTAGAGAGGGGTCTGCAAAGAGAAAGTGAATGATAGAGAATTGAGATGTAAACAGGTCCCTTGCCCACCCCCCAAAATCACACAGGAGAGTGGCCCACATCTCTCTCTCTCTCTCTCTCACCCCTCCAGACAGGACGAGTGGATAAGAACTACCCACTGGTCACTGGGCACACTGCCCCTGTGCTGGACATCGACTGGTGCCCACACAATGACAACGTCATCGCCAGTGCCTCAGATGACACCACCATCATGGTAGGAGCCAGTTGGAAGCCGCCGGGTCGTTGGGCAGGGGAAGCAGCTGGGGCGGCCTCACCTGTTCTAGAGAAGGTGCTAAGGGAGGTGCTGGGTCCCAGGGCCCTGTCCTACCCAGCTCCCAGGCTATCTTTAGCTACATGCCCACTCCCTCCCAGGATGCACTGCTTAGGACTAATAATAACCATGGCCAATTTGGGGGTGAAGAGTAGGGAGTTACTGCTCTGAAGTCTCCCTGCTGGGGTGATGAAGATCTCTGGAGAGCTGGCAGTGCCCCTCCTGGCTCCCAGCCGCCTCTGACCCAGGCAGGCGCCATCACATCTTGCCCTACATTTGCCACCAGTAGGCTTGGAGGGGCAGGGAGGGGAAGTAAGGGAGGAGCTTAGGGACGAAGAAGCTCCTCATCCTACCCACCCTCTGCCTTTTCCTCCTCCCCAGGTGTGGCAGATTCCAGACTATACCCCTATGCGCAACATTACAGAGCCCATCATCACACTAGAAGGCCACTCCAAGCGCGTGGGCATCCTCTCCTGGCACCCCACTGCCCGGAATGTCCTGCTCAGTGCAGGTCTGGGGGCCTAGCGAGGGATCCCTACTGTAGCTCTTGGGGGGAGGGTGGCAAAGGCAGGGCCCAGGTGATGGTGACTGGCCACTCTGGGCAGGTGGTGACAATGTGATCATCATCTGGAACGTGGGCACCGGGGAGGTGCTCCTGAGCCTGGACGACATGCACCCGGACATCATCCACAGCGTGTGCTGGAACAGCAACGGCAGCCTGCTGGCCACCACCTGCAAGGATAAGACCCTGCGCATTGTCGACCCCCGCAAGGGCCAGGTGGTGGCGGTGAGTGCCTGGCCTGGCCACGCCCCAGCCCCCACCCCAGGAGCCAACCGGCAGGCCCCTGTACCTGAGATCCTCTGAGCCCCTGGTCCCAGCTCTCACCTCCCCGATCCCAACCGCAGAGGCCAGTGCTTCCACCCACCACCACCTCCCAGTGTCTGCAGCCACAGCTCCCTGCCCTATTCCTCTTCCCTTCCCTCCCCTCCATCTCAGGAGCTCAGAGGAGCAGGGGAGGAGCTGCAAACCATCCTCCCATTAGAACCTGCATGAAGCCTGGGCTCCGGACCCCTCTCCTCTCAGCCGGCACCTAGAGCCATCTTCCAGGGCCCAGGGCCTGACACTGGCTCAAGGCCCGGCCCTTTCCGCCCTAGTTGACCCGCTGGGCCGGGGGGCGGGGCAGTCCTAGCGCGCGGCTGGTCTCGCCTTGGTGCCCTGGGAGGGCGGTGGCTGGCACCTGCCTCACCA